AAATAAAGTCAGCAGCAGCGGTCTCAGTGAGCCTGAATCCTCATCTCCTGATTGACAGGAAAAATGTCCATGGTATCGGATCACCTGGATTGCCCAGTGTGGGCTCCTGGACTCAAGAATTAATTGTTCAAAGATGCACCAAAATTAAGTATTCATTATTTTCAGAGTTTGTATCAAATTTACAGTTGTAGCCAAACAGGAAATATCACATGCTGCCAAGGGCACCACAATCATATTTTAAAACTTGTATTAAATATCTGGTTGCTGTAGTGCAATATGAGGTGCTGTTCAAACAGCCTCTGTAGCTGTGGTCCTGCCTTCTGGCAGCTTACAGCAGCCTAACACAGACAACCCTCACCCACATGTAAAGTGTAAGAATTTAAGGTTTGACAGAGCAGGAGCATCGCCATCTTGGACAAGCACCGCCATTTTAAGTTCCCTTTGATTAAAAACCTCCTAAATCCAGCCCAAAATCATCAGCTTAATGGCTAATGTCAGCATGACCATAAACCACAAATGACACCTTAGACCAGAAACATTACAACCCTGAGATAAAGCCCCCTCTGACCAGAAGCATCCCAGCCCCGAGATAACCTCTCCTCCGAACAGACATTCCAACCCTGCAATAAAATTCTCCTCCACCCAGAAATACTCCGAGCCTGCGATAGGCTCTCCCTCACTAAACCCTGAAGTACCCATAGTCTGTAAGAGAATGCTCCTGATCGAAATCAGCCAGAATATTCTCCAAAATAAACCTGTCTTTGACTATGGAGCCACTTTTTGTGTTTCTTTCTTCTTTCTTCAACTCTTACAAGGTTGAAAATATTAAGTCATTTTTTGCATGCAATAAATAGTATCTACATACTTCACACATTCTGTTAAGCTTTGCAGGGTTGTTTTTGTTTTGGTTAGGTTTTTTAAGGAAAATAAAAACATGATTCCTGCCTTTAAGGAGCTTACAATTTGAAGTTTAAAGCAGGAGTATCCAATCTTTTGGCTTCCCTGAGCCATACTAGAAGAAGAATTGTCTTGGGCCACACGTAAAATACACCAACACTAATGATAACTGATGAGCTAAAACAAAACGCAAAAAAACCTCAATGTTTTAAGAAAGTTTACAAATTTGTGTTGGGCTGCATGTGGCCTGCAAACCATGGGTAGGACAAGCTTAAAGTAGAGTGAACCTAACAACAAAGGAAACCTGATTTAAAAATGATCAAAGGAGTTGAACAGTTCTCCAAAAAGATATACAAATGGCCAATAAACACGAAAAGATGCTCAACATCACTAATAATTAAGGAAAGGTAAAACTACCGTGAAATACCACGTCACACCCATTAGAATGGCTATTATCAGAAAAAGCAGAAAATAAAACGTTGGTGAGGAAGTAGAGAAATTGGAACCCTTGGCACTGCTGGTGGGAATGTAAAATGGTTTGTCTCCCGTGGAAAACAGTATGGTGGCTCCTCAGAAAGTGGAACAATTACCATATGATCCAGCAATTCCATTTCTGGGGATATGTCCAGAAGAATCGAAAGTAGGGACAAACAGACGTGTACACACATGTTCATAGCAGCATTATTCACAATAGCCAAAAGGTAGGAGCAATCCGAGTGTCCGCCGACAAATGAATGGATCAACAAAATATGGTGTGTACACACAGCTGGTTATTATTCAGCCATACAAGAATGGAATTTGGTCACATGCCGTAATGAGGATGAGCCTTGAAGACACATGCTAAATGAATCGAGCTAGTCACAAAAGGACAATTACTGTATGATTCCACTTATATGAGTAGTCAAATTCATAGAAATACAAAGTAAAATAGTGGCTGCCAGGGATAAGGGAGGGGAGAATGGGAAGTTATTGTTTAATGCATACAGAGTTTCAGTTTGGGATGATGACAGTTCTGGAGGCGGGTGGTGGTGATGGTTGCCCAACAAGGTGAATGTACCTAATGCCACTGAACTGTACACTTAAGTGGTTAAAATGATAGATTTTATGTATATTTTACCACAATGGAAATAAAAAAAGCATAGTGGATTAGAGGCAAATAATGATAGCGTCAAATCTATTACTGAGTGTAAGTAATGCAGTTTCGCTGAGGGAGCATAGACTTTAGAGGTGGAAAAAGTAAAAGGGTTCTCAGAACATGGTCCCCAGAACAGCAGCATGTCATCTCCTGGAGTTGTTAGAAATGCAAGTTCTCTGGTCCCTCTTGCATCAGAAACTAGGAGTGGATCCAAGTGTTCAACAAACCCTTGTGGTGATTCTGATGAGAACCCTTGATCTAGCCTAACCATTGCTTTAAAGAGAAAGGAACGAAGGCACAGAGATGGCGTCTATGTCACAACTCCTCAGAGCATCCTGTGGTCAAGTACCAGATGAAGTGACTGGAGGACTGCTGAGCATGGTGACTGGTGAGTAGAAAAGATGTAACCAGGGGTCATGTTAACGCTAATGTGGTATCCTGCTCGTCAGGGTGCGGCGGTAAGCACGTGGTAGACGCTTTCAAAAACAAATACAAATAGGTTGACTTTTAAAATCTATCTGGAAAGATTTCACAGAAAAATAGGACTTCTTAGATTTTAGAGCTTTCACCGAAACACTTCAGAGTTTTAACTCAGTTTCATCACTGCCAACCTTTGTTGCTCTCCCAAATAAGTCCAAACTCCTTGTTTCCCATGGTGCACTTGTGATATTTCCTTAGGATAAATGTGTAGGTCATTTTTAATGAATCCTACTGAATATAAGATTACCTACTTTGCCTGTAATCCCAGCACTTTGGGAGACCAAGGTGGGTGGATAGCTTGAGTTCAGGAGTTCAAGACCAGCCTGGGCAACATGGCAAAACCCCATCTCTACTAAAAATACAAAAATTAGCCGGGCCTGGTGGTGCACACCTGTAGTCCCAGCTACTCGGGTGGCTGAGGCAGGAGAATCACTTGAACCCCGAAGGCAGAGAATGCAGTGAGCTGAGATCGCGCCATTGCACTCCACCCTGGGCGACAGAGTGAGACCCTGTCTCAAAAGAATACTTATTTGATAAATGTTTATATTTTATAACTGTATCATACACTGAACAACCCCTCCTCTTTGAACTTCGGCTCCTGTGACTCCACCCTTGCATTTCCTTTCATAAATCTGTGATTACTTCTTGGTCTCCTTTACAGCGTTGTATTCTTCTGCCCACATCTTTGATATCAGGCTTCCCCAGGGTTCCATCTTGGATCCCATTTTCCATGGGTGTGATCTCGCCCCCTCCCCTATTTCAGTTACCATTTATATGTTAGTAGCTCTCAAATTGTTACTCTAGCTCAGATGCAGATCGTAGACTGATTTATCCTCTTCCTAACTGGTCTATTTCTAGCATTGCCTTCTGTACATTAAATTCTCTCAGTGTCACCAGAGTATTTTTGTTTTTAAATTCTGATGGCACATAATTAAGAAAAATTATAACATATGACCAAGCATCAACATTAAATATGGGAGAGGAGACAAGACACCACAAGGAAGCAATTCACCAAACCCAAAACTTGGAACATTCTGTAGGACAAATGGTGGGGTTTCGTCAACAAATGGAAGAAAGAGGGGAAGACCATTATGGATTTTATATATATATATATTTGAAATGAAACGGAGTCTCCCTCTGTTGCCCAGGCTGGAGTTCAATGTACAATCGCGGCTCACTGCAACCTCCGCCTCCCAGGTTCAAGTGATTTTCCTGTCTCAGCCTCCCAAGTAGCTGGGATTATAGACGTGCACCATCACACTCGGCTAGTTTTGCATTTTTAGTAGAGATGGGGTTTCGCCATGTTGGCAGGGCTGGTCTCGAACTCCTGACCTCAGGTGATCCACCCGCCTTGGCCTCCCAAAGTGCTGGGATTACAGGCGTGAGCCACTGTACCCAGCCAATAAAAATAAATTTAAGTGACAACCAAAGTGTAATATATAAATCTTGTTTGAATCCTGACTCAATCCAGGATTAAAAGGAATATTTGGAACTATTGGAGCAATTTAAATATGGTTTGGGTATGAGTTAAGGAATTATTACTAATTTTCATAGTTGTAATAAAAGCATCATGATTATGTAAAAAAAAGACCATGTGTTAGAAATGCATACTGGTATGTAAATGAAATGAGATTGACAAAATGTTAGTAATTATTATAGCTGGGTGTTCATTATTGTTCTTTATACTTTTGTATATATATTTGAAATTTTTCATCATAAACAGTAAAAAATGAAAGGGCAGGTCAACTAAAAAGGAAAAAATAGAAATAAGGCGGAAAAAAACTTACCATCCTGGGAATTCTTGTTTACAGAACCAAAAGCTATCTGGTGAAAGTCCTTGACTCCAGCAATCAATCCTGGCAACAAGTCTGGGTTTATCTCATGCACACGTCCTCTGTTTCTCTGCAACACATATGAAGCCCTCAGATGGCTTCCTAGGCACAGGAAGTTGTGGGGGTTTGGTTTTTTTGTTTAAAGCACTAATACTTAGCAACACTATCCTGCAATGAGATAGCAGGGTCATCCATTGCTGCCATCAAACCACAGCTTAATAAGTTAATGGTCAAATTGCCTGTGTCCCACTGATGTTAGTAATAAAGTAGCTAACTACAATTTTAGATCAATGGAAACCCCTTGCTTGACCATAAACCCTGTGCTTCTGGAGACCACTTGTACTTTTGTCACTGTCAAAAACCAGTGATTGGCCGGGCTCGGTGGCTGACACCTCTAATTGTAGCACTTTGGGAGGCCAAGACGGGTGGATCATGAGGTCAGGAGACCATCCTGGCTAACATGGTGAAACCCCGTCTCTACTAAAAATACAAAAAAGTTAGCTGGGCATGGTGGCGGGTGCCTGTAGTCCCAGCTACTCGGGAGGCTGAGGCAGGAGAATGGCGTGAACCTGGGAGGTAGAGCTTGCAGTGAGCCGAGATCAGGCCACTGCACTCCAGCCTGAGCGACAGAGCAAGACTCTGTCTCAAAAAATGTGCTATGAAGCACATTTTCTCTCCTTTGTCTAAATGTGAAACTTCAGTAAATTTTGACATTTAATTTTCCAGAGTGTTAATTTAATGAGTAGTTTCTAATTTTAAGCTCCTACCCCATCTTAATGTGAGAATTAGTGAAATAAATAACATAAAACCATTTTTTAATTTTGGGAGTAAAGACAATAAAAACATGAGGTATTGCTGCTTAAATTGGTAAAAACACAGTTTAAACCTTGTTTCTTTCAGAAGTTTTGAGGTCAAAGAGCGTAATAAAACAAACTTAGGAGCTCATTTCCAGAGAATACTGTCCTTGTCCCATACCTGTCCTTACTACTTTGTTTTGTGTGCTATTGTAAGCTCCTTGACCATCTGACCAAGACAGGTTCAATGATTTGGCTTCATCCATTCTCGTTTAGTGGGCAATGCTATGGTTGCAACATTGTGAAATCAATTCCTATAAGTCACAAAGCAAGAATTTGATGTGAGGGGATGTCCCTCATTTAGAATTCCCTTCTGGATAAGATACTGGAGGTTTCATTGCAGGGAATTCTTGAGAGAAAACAATAGGAGGATGAGGGATTGTGGTTTTTTTGTTTTTTTTTTCCTAAAGAAAACTATCAATAAAGGAACCCTGTTGACAGTGTAAAGCAGTGCTTCTCTCTGGGGCCAAGGCCAGAGCTGTGGACACCTTGTCCCACTCATCCTCATCCTCTTCCTCTGATAAAGCCCCTACCAGTGCTGATAAAGTCTTTCTCGTGAGAGCCTAGAGGCCTTAAAAAAAGAAAAAAAAAGTGCTTGAAAGAGAAGGGGACAAAGGAACACCAGTATTAAGAGGATTTTCCAGTGTTTCTGGCAGTTGGTCCAGAAGGATGCCTCCGTTCCTGCTTCTCACCTGCCTCTTCATCACAGGCACCTCCGTGTCACCCGTGGGTGAGTCTCACGTCAAGAACTTGGCACAATGCACTTTTTGTTGTGGCAATTTGCTATAATGTACAGATGATTAAGAACTAGATTCCAGTACCTTAAATGCTAGCTCTAGAATCTTGTGAGAAAAGTCCCTGATAATCCTTGAAAATAGATTTCCAGGGAATTTCTGTTACATGTTCCATTTAGCCTCTCGCCTGGACATCCAAAATTTCCATGGATCTGCCATATCCCACAGCTTTCACTAGTTAAAGAGTTCCTGGAGTTTGTGTAAAAATAATTCTGTCTTCTTTGTGTTCTAGGCACTTTTATAGTTCCAACTTGAAGAGCCAAAAAAAAAATTAAAGTTGAGCATAGAGTTTTTCTTTAATGAAGGCAAGGGACTGAAAGCTCTGTTGCCATGAGGGGCACAGATCTGGATAAACCAAACTCATTAATCTTTGTATCAGAATATACTTTTTGCACAGATCGAATGAATCTTAAATTGTCTCCTTCCTCAGACTTGGTGCAAAACTGGCCAATCAGACAAAGAAAAGTTTCGATTCCAGTTACTAACAGATTTCTCTCTTGCCTCTTTTTCTAGTAGAATATCAGTACTAACTGGAAGAGAGGGTGGGAGTGAGATAGAGAGAACCATCCTTCTTGACACTTTTGAGGAGTTCAGTATTTAATTGACCCTGGTCTATTTCTTCATGGTTGCTCTAGCACCTTAAAGGATACACATTAAACAAAAGCTTGTGGCCAGGCACAGTGGCTCACACCTGTAATCCCAGCACTTTGGGAGGCCAAGGCGGGCAGATCACCTGAGGTCAGGAGTTTGAGACCAGCCTGGCCAACATGGTGAAACCCCATCTCTACTAAAAATACAGACACACACAAAATTAGATGGGCATGGTGTCGCATGCCTGTAATTCCAACTACTTGGGAGGCTGAGGTGGGAGAACCACTTGAACTCAGGATGTGGAGGTTGCAGTGAGCTGAGATCGAACCACTGCACTTCAGCCTGGGCAACAGAGGGAGACTCCGTCTCAAAAAAATGAAAAATAAAAATGCATTTTAAAAAATGGCGGTTTGAGACCCTCAGGAGACCTGATGCCTAAATGTAATGTGGGATCCTGGAACAGAAAGATATAGGTGGAAACTAAGGAAGTCTGCATAAATGTGGACTTGAGTTAATAAGAAGGTAACAATAGTGGTTCATTAACGCGACAAAGGTACCATGCTAATGTATGGTAAGTGTACGGCTAAAGGTAACACGCCATAACAAGGGAAACTGGGTGTGGGGCATGTGGGATCTCTTTGTCCTATCATCTCAATTATGCCGTAAATCCAAAACTGTTCCAAAAAATATGCTTGAGCTACCTGTCATTAATCACCCCATATCTGCTGCCAATAACTAACCCAAGGTTCTCTCAGAAAGTTGTCCTCCCGAAAAATCTCCACTCCCCTTTCTTCCCACCCTTCTCCTTACCTATTCTGCCTCTAGTACCTCCTGTATTCCCCATTCTTTCCATATACCCTCGCCCTTCCCAGATCTTTTCCTCCAACCCCCAACTCCTCAAGGATGATATATGGCTCAATGCCAGAGGCGTGATAAAGGGGGAACTTTGGGGACTGGAGCTGGTGTTTGCCCTGGGAGGAGAGGGGAAGTGAGAGAAGAGGGAAAAGAAGGGATGGAAAAGGGGGAAGCAAAGGGTGGTGATGAGGGAGGAGGATGGAAGAGGAGGGAGCAGGAAAGAAGGGATGCTTCCCAACCAAGCTCAGGCGCAGGGTCGAAAGGGGGCTGTGATTCGGGGGTGGCTGTCTGTTGGATAGGACCTGGAGGGTTGGAGGACTCAACACTGGGGCGAAAGGGTGGGGACACAGACATCGGTTCTCTGCCCTTGGCCCTGCATGGTCCTGGTGGAAGACGCCAGAGGGGCGGCTGGCAAGTGGACATCTTAGCAAACCATTGAGGAGCTTCTGGCAGGCCAGGAAGGAACCCACAGGGCTGTTCTTTTTGAAGCCCTCCCAATTAGATGTATAGATCAGCAGTTTAGGATGAATGTGTGCAATACCAGATTCTGGGCTTCACACTGAGATTGAAAACAGGATATAAAACCAGCAGCCAGATTATTAGATTGGATTGCTGCCTTAAAAGGGTGTAGAGTGGGATGGGTACGTTTAACGTCAGAAAGTATTGGATGGTTAACTTTTAAAAATATGTATGTATTATTTAGTTAGTTACAGAAGGTGGCAGATAAATTTCTCCTCCTCATACCCTATCTCCCCTACAGCAGGGGAGGAAGTGAACTTTTAGCAGACAGCCAAGAAATGACATTTTACTTGAAGGAAAAACTTTATAAATAAGGAACTAGTTACTGAGAGAGGTTTAGGAGTTTCTGTAGAAGCCATTAAAAGTTGAGTATCTAGCCATCTCTTATAAAATTAGAGCTAGGGAGAGGAACCAAATATTTCCATGACTCTATAATCACCTGTGAAACTGCTCTGGAAACTTGTTTGTAAGAAAAAGCCACAGCTGGGAGAGCAAAGGAGGAAATTTGTCCCCTTTGAGGAGAGAGAGAATCTGAGGATACTTCTTCCCCTCAAAGGATTCTGGTCTAGGGCTCAGCTGAGATACATAAGGTGCATTTTAAAGAAAGAGGGTTGTTTCTGCCATTTGCATCCCTGCGTGTTATTTCCAGAAAACGCAATATCCCACTTCTTTCTTGCCTTAAATTGTCGTATTTTCTTGGAGGCCATTAGCAGTGGGCTATTCTTTTCTCTATGTGTGACTGAGGTTTAAAGAGTAAACTTAACTTTGAAATGTGGATATGTAGATTGGAAACATCTAAAGTATTTTCTAGACAAGTTAGATTTGGTGATCATGGCCGATTCATATTTAATCATTGTGCAGTATTTGCGAATACTGAATTCCCTGCCCACGAAATATATTGGCCCTAATGTGAATTCCCTGCCTACGATATCAGTTACGTAAGTCAACCTCATGTGCATTAAGAAGAATAATATAGTACTCTCTGGTCAATGTTCCTTTCTAGAATTTCTTGGTTTCATAGATTCTTCATAAGGACAATTTACCTGTGTTGATTCATTAATTAGTTTCCCTGGAGCTAAGGGGAGCAATGAGAATATTGGAGATATTGGTGTCTTTAGTCATTGAAATGTTGTTTTTCTATTTATTTATTTGTTTGTTTGTTTATTTATGAGACAAAGTTTTACTCATGTTGCCCAGGCTGGAATGCAGTGGCATGGTCTTGGCTCACTGAAACCTCTGCCTCCTGAGTTCAAGCGATTCTCCTGCCTCAGCCTCCCAAGAAGTTGGGATTACAGGCACACGCCACCACACCTAGCTAATTTCTGTATTTTTAGTAGAGATGGGGTTTCACCATGTTGACCAGGCTGGTCTCGAACTCCTGACCTCAAGTAATCCACCCACCTCGGCCTCCCAAAGTGCTGGGATTACAGGCGTGAGCCACCGCACCCAGTCAAAATGTTGTTTTTCAATGTCTTCATGACATATGATAAAATGTTTTGGTTGAGATATGGTAATTTATGCACTAAACACATATGCCTGAGAAACTTGGCTATATGACAGCTAGGATAATAATGCCATGGTTAACTACGAATACACAAAGTTCTTGGTATTTTCAATAAGCTGGTAGAAGATATACCAAAATTCACTTTGAGAATATTTCTGGTAACTACATGCTAGTATACTGTGTATTTCAAAGTAGGTGGCATGTGCCCGAGGCCTTTTTCTTTTCAGTGGAATGAGCTTTTACACATTCCTGATCAAGTCAAACTTTCTAATAATGCAAAATTCCACCTATAATCTTTACAAATAGACAGCCAAATACTTTTTTGAATATTTCCAAGGATTGGAAGCTAACTGCCCTGTGACATAGCCTCTCCCATGACTGGATAGCTGAACTGAAATGTGCTTCCCCATAATTCGTTCTTGTTCTTGTAACAGAATAGCTAATTCCTCTTCCACAAGCCTATTCCAGAATTTTAAAAAACGAATATGTGTTTTCTTCAGTCTTCTTTTTTCAAAACCATAATTCTCAACTTCACCAGTAAATAATTTTTAGGACCCCTTCTAAGTCTGGTCAACTTTCTCTGAAGTTTGTCAATTGCTTTCAAAAAATACAGTCTCCGGCAGAGCGCCAAGTTCATGCCTGTAATCCCAGCACTTTGGGAGGCTGAGGCAGGAAGATCACTTGAGCCCAGGAGTTCAAGACCAGCCTGGACAAGATGCCAGAACCCTATCTCTACCAAAAAAAAAAAAAATTAGCCAGGTGTGGTGGCATACACCTGTGGTCCCAGCTACTTCAGAGGCTGAGTGGGGAGGATCACTTGAGTCCAGGAGGCGGAGGTTGCAGTGAGCCATGATTGTACCACTGCACTCCAGCCTGGGCGACAGAGGCAAACCCTGTCTCAATAATAATACAGTTTCCAGGTAATGAACAAAATACTCAGAGTATGGTCTGACTCGCGCAGAGTTCAGTGAGTCTTTAATCCTAACTTCCCTTGGTCTGAACAACTATCCTTCTATCAAATACTTACTATGGATAAAAATTCAGTTCCAGCTAATGCTTAATATTAGGTTTGAAATAATTTTGAAAAGGGCATTTATGCAGCATGTTTAAATCAACCTAAGGAACCTTAAACAACTATTTTTTTGGGACCTTAACTAATTTCTCTTTTGAATTCAAAAATGTCCAAATGCAAGACCAAGAAGGTGGACTTGGGCTGTTGGTGCTGTGATCTGAAACACTCCAGGTACTCTGAGGTATCTTTTTCATTTCCAGCCCTAGACCCTTGTTCTGCTTACATCAGCCTGAATGAGCCCTGGAGGAACACTGACCACCAACTGGATGAGTCTCAAGGTCCTCCTTTATGTGACAACCATGTGGATGGGGAGTGGTACCGCTTCACGGGCATGGCAGGAGATGCCATGCCTACCTTCTGCATACCAGAAAACCACTGTGGAACCCACGCACCTGTCTGGCTCAATGGCAGCCACCCCCTAGAAGGTGACGGCATTGTGCAACGCCAGGCTTGTGCCAGCTTCAATGGGAACTGCTGCCTCTGGAACACCACAGTGGAGGTCAAGGCTTGCCCTGGAGGCTACTATGTGTATCGTCTGACCAAGCCCAGCGTCTGCTTCCACGTCTACTGTGGTCGTGAGTACCTTCCCTGTGCTCTTTTTCTCCACCAACAAGGCCATGGATGGAGTCCAAAAGTGCCAATTATAGGATACGCAGTTACAGTGACAACTACATCTCAATCTGAACAACATTGATGTGGGGCCAAAGATACCTCTAGATTGTGATTTCTGAGATCTCTTCATAGAACTTCTGAAAAATTCCTGAAGAAATAGAAGGGGAAAGGAGCTATGACTTTAATCAGTTATTTTTAATTTTGTCCGAATTCCATTCAAACAACACATTAGAAAATGAAATATTGGGCTAGGTGTGGTGGCTCACATCTGTAATCCCAGCACTTTGGGAGGACGAGGCAGGTGGATCCCAAGGTCAGGAGTTTAAGACCAGCCTGGCCAAGAGACCAGCCTGGCCAATATGGTGAAACACCGTCTCTACTAAAAATACAAAAATTAGCCAGGTGTGGTGGCATGCACTTGTAACCCCAGCTACTCGGGAGACTGAGGCAGGAGAATTGCTTGAACCCAGGAGGTGGAGGTTGCAGTGAGCCGAAAATCACGCCATTGCACTCCAGCCTGGGTGACAGAGTGAGACTCCGACCCAAAAAAAAAAAAAAAAGAAAATGAAACATTGATTTAGGTTATCTAAATAGTGGATTTCCAACTTGTTTGAGTATGGAGAACCCCTTTTTAAGATCTCTAGATAGATAGCTAGATAGATAGCTAGATAGATAGCTAGATAGATAGATAGATAGATAGATAGATAGATAGATAGACAGATAATCAGACACCCACATGGTTGGATTGTGTTTGGTGTCCACTGATTTTTTTAAATGATATATAATGGGAAGAAGCTACTTTGTGTCAGCAATTCTTCTAATTTCTGTGTTATTAATCCTGTCAAGATCTGTATTCATTTTAAAAATAGAGCACTAGAAGAATAAGACGTAACACTTTCTTAGTCTACAGCTCATTTATGGTGAGGTTTTAGATTTGCAGACAGTCTGTGGCCACTCAAGGGCCTATGGATCTGAAGTTGGGAATCGTTGATCTAGAAGACAGAAGATGCCCTAGTTTGTTATTTTCCATTGGGTTATATAAACCCTGAACAATGAGAATTCCCTCGATGGTGGCTGGAAACTCATCCCCCAGGCTACACTCATGAGGCTCTCTCAAGGAGAGGGTCAGCTGGATGCAGTGGCTTATGCTTGTAGTGCCAGCTACTTGGGAGGCCAAGGTGGGAGAATTGCTTAAGCCCAGGGGTTTGAGGCCAGCCTGGGCAACATAGGGAGACCACCCCTCCTGCCCCACCGCACCATCTCTAAAATGAATGAAAGAGTGTCCTCTGGTCTCCTCCTCTCATGAAGATAATCTTTATTCTTCCGTAGATTTTTATGACATCTGCGACGAGGACTGCCATGGCAGCTGCTCAGATACCAGCGAGTGCACATGCGCTCCAGGAACTGTGCTAGGCCCTGACAGGCAGACATGCTTTGGTAAGAAACTCATCAAAGGTAGAATCAGGCTATTAGGATTGAAAGGACAAATCAAAAACTCTTCCTGCCTCAGAGCGCCATCATTTTCCCAGTTTGTGTCTCCAAACACTTGGAATGGCGTTTCCTTTTTAGTTTATACCTGGACTGAAAGCCCCACACCAAATTTGTATCACGGTTAGGGACAGTAGAGAATTGTGCCCTCCACTAGAGTAGCCACAGGTGGCCATGGCTCACTTGAAATGTGGCTAGTATGATGGAAAAACTGAATTTTAATTTTATTTTATTTTAATTTTAAAACCGATGTTTGGCCACACACGGTGGCTCACGCCTGTAATCCTAGCACTTTGGGAGGCTGAGGCTGGCAGATGGCTTGAGCCCAGGAGTTCAAGACCACCCTGGGCAACAAAGAAAAACCTCATCTCTACAAAAAATATGAAAATTATCTGGGTATGATGGCATGTATCCATAGTCCCAGCTCCTCAGGAGGCTGAGGTGGGAGGACCACTTGAACTTAGGAGTTCAAGGTTACAGTAAGCCATGACACCATTGCTCTCTAGCTCTCTAACAGAGTGAGACTCTGTTTCTAATAATAGTAATAATAATAATAAATCTTTAATATTGGTTATATATCAAAATGAAAATATTTTGCATATAATTGGGCTATATAAAATATTATTAAAATTAATTTCACGTTTCTTTTTTAAACATTTTAATGTGACTACTAATAAATTTTAAATATGTAATTTGCTTTATATTTCTGTTGGACAGCACTGATCTAGAATTATCTGAGGACTTACTCCTCTAGCTTCACTGATATAATTTTGGTAATTCTGAGTAGCAAGAAAGATGAGTCAGATTGTCCGTAGGAAATCCAGAGTTGTTGAATTGTATACTATGTTGTCTATAACTAGAAGAGAACAGAGATGAAAACCCCAAGATTGAATATCATCTCTCTTTCTCTTTAATGTTATGAAGGTTTTGGATTCAGACTCAAATAGATTTAAAACAAGTCTAGAGAGAAAGGGGAAGATTGCCCTACCCTGGTCCCCCAAGAAGAACAGTAACAGGTCAGGATTGAGGCAGGAGATTAAGGTGAAAGGAGCATAAACGGCTTATTGGTGTTTGTTTGTTTGTTTGTTTGTTTTTGAGACAGGATCTTGCTGTGTCACCCAGACTGGAGTGCAGTGGTGTGATCTCAGCTTATTGCAGCTTCGACATCCTGGGCCCAAGTGGCTTCTTGTTTTAGAAGAGCTTTTGCGCTTCAGTCTCCTAAATGAGCCAGGGGCAATGGCTTATGCCTGTAATCCCAGTGCTTTGGGAGGAGGAAGCAAGAGGATTGCTTGAGACCAGGAGTTTAAGACTAGCTTGGGCAACATAGTGAGACCCCATCTCTATAAAATAAAAAATAAATTAGCCAGGCATAGTGGCAGCCTTCCAAAGTAGCTGAAGTTTCAGCTGAGGCAGGTGGATTGCTTGAGCCCAGGAATTTAAGGCTGCTGTCAGCTCCGATTGCGTCACTGCACTCTAGCCTGGGCAGAAGAGCAAGACCCTGTCTAAACAAACAAAAAAAAATCATAAATACATCAATAAATAAAACCTCCTAAATGAACCCCACTGACCATCCTGTGGAGCAGGTTTCAGCCCTGCCATAGGAGTTGTTAGGGGGTCTGGTGTGGTTGATTCTGAGTATGTGATTTAATGCTAAATGGCTTGGGGTAGGGGCAATGGTGGTTCCTGAGGTTTCTCCCTACCCTCATGTATTCCTGTTCAAAAATATTTGGCTTTATTTTAAACCAGGAGTTGTTTATGAATTTCTTTGCTTTTGTTTTAATACAGCTCTTGAAGAGGTAATACATTTAAATGGTTCTCAAATTAAACAACATGAAAAAGTATACAGCAGGCTGTCTAGCTCTCAGTCACCCTCTTGCCCCATTTCCCTCTTCCCCAACTCCATCCCAAGGAAACGGTTGTATTATTTTCTTATATGTGCTTCCAGGGTTTCTACAGTCAGATTTTAAAATGCAAATATATATATGTGTATTAGCCTGTTCTCATGCTGCTAGTAAAGGCATACCCAAGCCTAGATTTATAAAGGAAATTTATAAAGGAAAGAAGTGTAATTGACTCACAGTTCCACATTGCCAGGGAGGCCTCACAATCATGGCAGAAGATGAGGAGAAGCAAAGTCACATCTTACATGGCAGCAGGCAGGAGAGCATGCGTAGGGGAATTCCCATTTATAAAACCATTGGATCTCGTGAGACTGACTCACTACCAAGAGAACAGTGTGGGGGAAACTGCACCCGTGATTCAGTTATCTCCACCTGGCCCCACCCTTGACACGTGGGGATTATTACAATTCAGGGTGAGATTTGGGTGCAGACACAGCCAAACCATATCAATATGTTTACTTATTGGCCATTTTTAAACATCAAAGGTAGCATATCATTCACTTCTCTTCCTTAACTTATCTTAGACAATCTTTTTCTATCAAAGCCCCAAGTTCCTATGTGGGATCTGTGGGACTTCAGGGAGGTGAATCCTCTGAAACTGTAGACAGTGTTTTGTGTTTGTGAGCATGTGTCCGTTTGCCTTTAGTTTTTATTTAAATGTAATAATTTTAATTATTTATTTTAAATTATATAATTTGTTCAGGCAGCATACAAGAAAATAATATAACAGACACTCATGTACCTAGATTTAACTAGAGTTAAGTTTTGCTTCCTTTTTGTTTTTTTTTTTTTTTTTTTTTTTTTGAGTTAGAGTTTCACTCTTTTGCCCAGGCTGGAGTGCAATGGCACCATCTCAACTCACTGCAACCTCCATCTCCTGGGTTCAAGTGATTCTCCTGCCTCAGCCTCCAGAGTAGCTAGGATTACAGGTGCCCACCACCACGCCCGGCTAAATTTTTTGAATTTTTAGTAGAGACAGGGTTTCACCATGTTGGCCAGGCTGGTCTTGAGCTCCTGACCTCAGGTGATCCACCCACCTTGGCCTCCCAAAGTGCTGGGATTACAGGCGTGAGCCACCGTGCCCAGCCCTCTTTTTCTTTTAATTTAAATACAATTTTGTAAATACAATAAAGCCATCCTACCCCATCCTGCTTTCTTCTCTCACCCTCCAGGGGTAATCATTGTTTTGAAGTTAGCATGTGTTCTTCTGGTCCCATTTTAATGCTTTTATTATTTATGTATGTACCCATAACAGTAGATAGCATTGTTTTGTGTGTTCTTAGAATTAACATAAAAATGATACCTTACCCAGTGTGTGAGATTTTCTCTAGCAGGTACCCGTAAGAATGGAACTGCTTGGGCATAGAGTGTCTTCACTAGCTATAAACAATAAACCCCCAAATAATGACGGCTTTAAAAAGTAGAAGTTTATTTCTCTCTCATAAGATAAGCAGTCCAGGCTTGGAATGGAGGCTTCTAAGGGACCTACCCAAGCATGGGTGTCACCATGTCCACATCCAGGAAGGCTGTGAGCCTCTAACCATCTACTTTCCAGGCAACATAATGAGGAAAGGGAAAGAAGGGGCCTTGATAAAGATTCTTAATATTATCAACTACATTTTGCATTTCTACAAGTTCTGTTTGTTTGTTTTCAGTTCTGCCTTGTCTTTTTACACACTTCTTTTATTTTGCTTATTATCCTTTCTTTTATCTTTTTACTAATTCTTTAAATACTTGTATTATGGACTTTTCTGGATAATTCTGTTATTTCCAGTTCAAAGCCTCCAATGATCACGCCAACGCTGTCTCACAGTGGATCATTCCTCATTTAAGTGTCTTGTGGCAAACCATCGTCTGTTGTAGTTTTTTTTCTGTAGGACACCACTCTTGTCATCTGGTATCTTTGTTTAGTGTGGCTATAAAGGAATACCTGAGGCTGGGTAATTTATAAAGAAAATGGGTTTATTTGGTTTATAATGCTGCTGGCTGGGGGACTGAGCATCTGGGGAGGGCCTCAGGCTGCTTCCACTCATGGAGGAAGGTGAAGGGTGCTGGCATGTGCAGAGATCTCATGGCAAGACAGGAAGTGAGAGTGAGAAGGGGGAGGTGGCAGGCTCCTTTTAAACATGCTGAAACTAAACTAATAGAGCAAGAACTCACTCATTACTGCAAAGATAGCACCAAGCCATTCACAGGGGACCTGCCTCCAAGACCCAAACACCTCCCATTAGGCCTCACCTCCAACATGAGATCAAATCTCAATATGAGGCCAGGCATGGAGGCTCATGTCTGTAATCCCAGCACTTTGGGAGGCCGAGGCAGTTGGATCACTTGAAGTCAGGAGTTCATGACCAGCCTGGCCAACATGGTGAAACCCCGTTTCCACTAAAAATACAAAAATTAGCTGGGCGTGGTGGCGCGTGCCTGTAATCCCAGCCACTCGGAAGGCTGAAGCGGGAGAATCGCTTGAAACCTGGAGGCGGAGGTTGCGGTGAGGTGAGATCATGCCACTCCACTCCAGTCTGGGTGACAGAGACTCTGTCCCAAAAAAAAAAGAAAAATCTCACTATGAGACTTGGAGGGGTCAAATATCCAAACCACAGCACCTGGTTTGAGGAAGTTTTACACAGAGCACTTTTTCAAATGCTTCTGTTGGCATCACAGATTCTTTATCAGACCAGGCCAAATTTTCCATCAATTTCTCAGCTTCAAGATTCCCCATACCGTGTGGGAAGTGTAAATCCATACTTGAGCCATGGCAGAGCCCTGGCTTGGGGCTTCCATTGTTTGTGAAGGCTTTTCTTTCTCCTAGAGCCTTGGGCAGTTTCCTTATTGTTTCCCTGGGCCACTGGGCAAAGTTCTCCCCATCTCATTGAGGGGATACATTTTCTGGGGTTCTAGACTGAAGCAGGGTTTCAGTCACAGCTTGTCTCCTCTCCTGGGGCCAAGGTCATGACTCCTGTCACCGCATGGGTGTTTAAACCTCAGTCCATGGTTTATGTCCTATCTAGGCCTGTTATTCCTGAGGACCATGACAAATTTAGCTCCCAAGCTTCCCTTTCCTTGTTTGTAGAAAGAAAGGCATAGACATTTTCTGCCAACTGTGCGTTTTTTTACAGCAAGAGTCCATACCCTTCATCAGATTCTTAAAAAGATTAGCAACCATTGCTTGAGTACAGTGTGAGAATATACTAATTTAAAAAACAGATTTTGAGGGCAATAGTTCATATTATAAAAGAAAATTGCCTTACAAAATATTTTATCAGCTATTTCCTTCTGTAATGTAAGCTCCTCTCATGACTTAAAACAATTTACTTTATAAGTTTGTATTTATTTAGCAACTTCTCAGGAACTCATTAAAGAAAGTGAAATTCGCCAATACAAATAAGTAGGTGTACCCAGGACACAAAAGGAACTTCATTTTCCCATTGTTTTTCCCTGAAGAGAAAGTAATTGGCAAGCAATTAGGTACCTTCCACTCAGTAAAGGGCAGATGAACCAATAACGTGGTAAGGAGATCAGGTAGATGGGAGTGATGATACTGGATCAGAGGGGGAGCTGGGTGGTGGAAGGTCCATCAACAGGATCTGAAAAGATGTGGAAACTCTGCCCGGGGGTTTGGGAAAGGCTGAATCACTCACCAGTATAGGAACAGTGTGGTTTCTCTTCTGCAGATGAAAATGAATGTGAGCAAAACAATGGTGGCTGCAGTGAGATCTGTGTGAACCTCAAAAACTCCTACCGCTGTGAGTGTGGGGTTGGCCGTGTGCTGAGAAGTGATGGCAAGACTTGTGAAGGTGAGAATGGGCAAGAAGGGACCCAAATCAAGAGCCAAAGGAAGCCACTGGCTTATTCTCTGATGTTCAGGAAACTGCCTTAGTGTCCGAAGAGAGCAACAGTTTGACTGTGCAAAGAAACGACAAAGGGGTTCATCAACATTGAGAATACTCACACTGTGGACAGAATTCAGTTTTGATTTTGTCTCTAAGATTTAACAGGAGCGAATTTTGCAAGAGGCAGAAAGCCACATTTTTATATGAGAAATAAAAATAGGGTGTTCTGGCCAGGTGCAGTGCTCATGCCTGAAATCACAGCACTCTGGGAGGCTGGAGTGGGAGGATCACTTGAGGCCAGGAGTTTGAAAGACCAGCCTGGGCAACATAGTAAGACACTATCACTACAAAAAATTAAAAAATAAAAATTAGCTGGGTATGGTGGTGCATGCTTGTAGTCTCAGCCACTCAGAAGACTGAGGATTACTTGAGCCCAAGAGTTTGAGGCTGCATTAAGCTATGATTGCGCCACTGCACTCCAGCCTGGGCAACAGAGAGAAAATATCTCAAAAAAAAAAAGGGGTGGGGGATATTCGGTATTTCTCAAACTTTAATGTGCCCATGAATCACTTAGGATCTTGTCAAAATGCAGATTCTGATTTAGTAGGTCTGAGATCAGGTCAATATATTGCATTTTTAAAGACGTTCTAGGAATCACCTATGCTGCTGGTCCAAGGAGCACACCTGGACTAGCCAGGTAATAGAGGCAGTAGCATAACCACTGGCCGACAGCTGTGTTTCCCAAACTTCCCTGCTGCTGAGAAGCACCTGGGGCTTTTACACTCAGCCCCTCCGAGACCCTCTCCTGCAGCCTCAGCTTCAGAGGAGCTAAGATGGGGCCTTAGAGTTTGTGTTTTCAACAAGTTCCATGGGTGACTTTTATCATCTTGGAAGTTTAAGCCATTTCCTCTCCTCCCCATATGCTTTGTGTTTATGGGAGATAAATACAGTTTGGGGGGTAAATAAAATAATCTATTTAATTTTACTTTTAGATCTGTTTTTAATAGCAGACATTTTATAGGACTTTATACATTTATATAACTAATAACAAAAAAGAATTCATAATATATATCAAATAATTGAAATGGAAATTGCCTACCATTATTATATGAAACTTAGATAATATCCCTTCTCTAAGGCACATTTACCCTTGCAAATTGTCACAGCTAAAATTCACCAGGCACGGTGGCTCATGCCTGTAATCCCAGTACTTTGGGAGACTGAGGTGGGTGGATCACTTGAGGTCAAGAGTTGGTGATCAGCCTGGCCAACATGGTAAAACCCCATCTCTACTAAAAATTCAAAAATTAGCTAGGTATGATGGTGGGTGCCTGTAATCCCAACTACTCAGGAGGCTGAGGCACAAGAATCATTTGAACCTGGGAGGCAGAGGTTGCAGTGAGCTGAGATAGCGCCACTGCACTCCAGTCTGGGCAACAAAGAGAAACTCTATCTTAAAAAAAAAAAAAAAAAATTCCATCGCTTCTACTTTAATAAGTCAGAGTTCTCATGACACCCTGCAGATTACATGGAGAGATAAATGGTATAATTGTTATTATTTACAGAGGATATATATTTGTTCCTTAGGATAATTAAATTTGTGGAATAATAGAGCTGTGGTACTACTTACAAAAGTTCACTTTATTCTAGCTATATTCAAAATAATAAAACACTATAAGTGTTCCTTATAATAAGGCTAAATGTATTTTAAACTTTATTGAATGGGGGTAATGTCCAGAGTCCTCCTTAAATCTTAATTATTTTATGTACGAATCTTTGCATATTTGAATGTTAATAAAATGTTCCATAAAAACATTTGTAATTATTTATGAGTACTTTATTGGAAAGATTGCAGTTAATCCTGCCTCATATAATCTTAAAACCTAATAACCATAACTGAAAAAATTTTTTAGCAGAAGATGAAAATTAAGTGTGAGTTATACTTTAGGATTAATATTCCTGTTTATAACCCTTAAGTTTTATTGATAGTCCAAACATATATGTTTCTTTAGCTAAGCTATTTGATAATTATATGTTCATTTTTTTAAAAAAAAAATGGCCTTTTTAATTTTTTTTTTTTAGATTCAGGGGGTAGATGCACAGGTTTGTTACATGGAGACATTGCTTAATGCTGGGGTTTGGGTTTCTATTGAGCCTGTTACCCAAATAGTGAATATAGTACCCAATAGGTAGTTTTTCAACCCTCACCCTGCTCCCTCCTCCCACCTTTTGGAGTTCCCAGTGTCTTTTTTTTTTTTTTTTTTTTTGAGACAAGGTCTCAATCTGTCACCCAGGCTAGAGTACAGTGGTGCCATCTTGGTTCACCGTAGCTTCTGCCTCCCTGAGCTCAGGTGATCCTCCCACCTCAGCCTCTCGAGAAGCTGGGACTATAGGCATGCACCACCACGCCAAGCTAATTTTTGTATTTTTGTAGAAACAGGGTTTCACCATGTTGGCCAGGCTGCTCTCGAACTCCTGAGCTCAAGCAATCCGCCTGCCTTGGTTTCCCAAAGTGCTGGGGTTACAGGTGTGAGTCACTGTGCCAGGCTCCCTGTGTCTATTTTTATATAGTTTATATTTGTCCCATCTTTATGCCTGTGTGTACCCATTGTTTAGCTCCCACTTACAAGTGAGAACATGCAGTATTTTTCTGTTCCTGCATTAATTCAGCTCTTGTTAGTTTTTAAGTAATTTTTATTTTTTTGTCTTACTTATTTATTATTATTATTATTATTATTTTTAAGACAGAGTCTCACTTTGTTGTCCAAGCTAGAGTGCAGTGGGGCGATCTCAGCTCACTGCAGCCTCTGCCTCCCAGGTCAAGCGATTCTCCTCCCTCAACTTCCTGAGTAGCTGGGATTACAGGTGCCTGCCACCATGCCCAGTTAATTTTTAGTAGAGACAGGGTTTCACCATGTTGGCCAGGCTGGTTTTGAACTCCTAAGCTCACACAGTCCACCTGTCTTGGCCTCCCAAAGTGCTGGATTACAGGTGTGAGCTACCACACCTGCCTGTTTTGTTTTATCACAAAAGTATAGAATAAAATACAGAGGAGCAAGAGAAAAATAATTAAAATGACCCACAATCCATAGCCATTCTAAACATTTTGGTATATCTTCCTGAGAGACTTAAATATTTTAAGCTAATTTAAATTTTCAGTTTCTTTTATATTTTGTATTTTTAGACCTGGAAATATCCTGAGTGAACATTTAGTACAACTTCTTCATTTTACAGATATTGAAATTGTGACTCAGAGAAATAAAATGACTTAAGGAAGGTAATTTTTAAGGAAAAAAAGTGCTATTAATGTTCATTTTAACATCTTACAACATATTTTTGTGCTTTCTTCTATAGTGTTAAATATAATCTTCAGCCATTTCAAAAGCCCTTAGGTATGCTTTTATCCTTCAAAAATATACAGATGTATAATGGCCAGGCGTGGTGGCTCACGCCTGTAATTCCAGCACTTTGGGAGGCCAAGATGGGCGGATCACGAGGTCAGGAGATCGAGACCATCCTGGCTAACACAGTGAAACCCCGTCTCTACTAAAAATACAAAAAACAAACAAACAAAAAATACAGATATATAAACTAGTATTACTTAATCTCTTTTAAGTGTTGCGAAGAGTAATTCCTTGGCATATTTTTCTCTATATACATTTCACAAAAACTAATTCATCCTAAGTTAATTTATTGATGTTCCAAATAACTGCTTTTTAAAAACTATTATTGAACGGAGAGAGTTATTGCTATAACTGGAAATCAGTTTTTATCTTTCCCTGAGCATCTCAGATGTTTTGAAAGCATTCCCTTTCTTTATTTTAACCTAGAACAGGGGTCAACAAACTTTTCTCCGAAGGTCAGATGATAAATACTTTAGGCTTTGTGGACCATACAGAATCTGTAGAAACTACTCAACTCTGTTCTTGTAGTGAGAAAGCAGCCATACTGGTAAATGAATGCACATGGCTATGTGCCAATAAAACTTTATTTGTAATAATGTGTAGCAGATTAGAATTTGACAACCTCTGACCTAGAAGATAATGTCCAAGTCCCACAAAGGTCATTTTTTTTTCTCTGTTAAACATGAAATCACCTTATAGATTCTTTAGTTTTCAATGGAATATTTTTCCTTTTTGTCCATTGCCTTGAGTTTGCTTTTTGAACATGCAAAACATTAAAAAGGGAAAATTAAACAAAACCATCTCATAAGAGGACAATCACCAAGAATTTCGTTGAATGGACTCAGCATGTTGTCCAGGCCTCATTTTTATAGTGTGCTGTCAGCCCAAAGCCCTTTACCCCCAGTGCTCTTGTCCTAGATATTTGAGGAGAGGGCCAGGTGACCCAGCCAGTCCACAATAAGTCAGATCTATCCAGCCAATTCAGGTGAATTTGTATTCTGTCAGTCTCTTTTACGTCAATAATGCTCTATAAAATGTCGAATTGGTTGGATTAAATGTTACAGCAAATAAGAAATCACTTTTGGGTCCTAGTCCTAAAAACTCATAACCCCCGGCTAACCATAAGAAAAACATCAGACAAACCCAAACTGAAGGACATGCTACAAAATTCCTGACCAGCTTAATTGGGTAGAGTTACAGATATTGGAAGATTGCTCTTTGTAGCTATGATATTTCATAAACATTCTTTGAGGTCTTGCCCGAATGTCTCAGTCACTAGGTTAGGCACCAGGGATGCTGCCATAAGTTAAGTATAATCCCTGATGCAAAGTGCCAGAATTCTTGGAGTAGAGGGTTGCAAGATGATTCCCTTTTCTGTTGGCTTCTACTGCAGACATTGAAGGATGCCACAATAACAATGGTGGCTGCAGCCACTCTTGCCTTGGGTCTGAGAAAGGCTACCAGTGCGAATGTCCCCGGGGCCTGGTGCTGTCTGAGGATAACCACACTTGCCAAGGTAGTACATGGGGCGGAGTGGGGGGCTTGTCTCTACTCTGATTGCACTTCTTCCTCTCCCAAAGCTCTTTGTCTTCCTCCCCCAAGTGTGTCAGGGTTCTCATCTTTTAGAACAATGGCTCTTTGAGCAGTGTATATTGCTGAATCATCACTCTGGAATCATTTAACAGAGAAGATATCTAAGAAAGGATTACCAGAAAGTTAACTTTCCTTTGCTGTTTATCTTTGGTTTTTGACTACTTTCTATGGTTAGTTGTATGACTAATACTCAATATGGAAGCATAAGTCATTGATACAGCTCCTCTCTTTTCTAACAGGGTTGAAACTAAGTGAACTCAGTTGAAAGCCCTGAGGAACATATTCCTCTCCCTACACTTAGGATATGAGGGTTAACAATCCTCTAATAATTATTTTCTGGAAATCTAATTTTTTTTTTTTTTGGCAGAGTCTCACTCTGTTGCTCAGATAGAGTGCAGTGATGTGATTTCAGCTCACTGCAACCTCCACCTCCTGGGTTCAAGCAATTCTCCTTCCTCAGCCTCCTGAGTAGCTGGGATTACAGGCTTGTGCCACCGTGCCTGGCTAATTTTTGTGTTTTTAGTAGAGGTGGGGTTTCACCATATTGGCCAGGCTGCTCTCGAACTCCTGACCTCAAGTGAGCCGCCCTCCTCGGCTTCCCAAAGTGCTGGGATTACAGGCATGAGCCACCGCGCCTGGCCTGGAAATCTAGTTCCTGATGTCCAGAATATTCATCCATTCATCTACCAAACATGTAAGGGGCACCTGTGTCTGATTTCTTTGCACCACTACACCATCGTTATGTGTCTTCATGTATTGGACGCTGACAGAACTCAAGTATTCTTTTCAGGATATTTGCAGAGTCTAGAGAAGAACCTGGGAATGCTAAGGAAAAGCAATCTTTTTTATATTAAGCTAAAGTGGTGAAATTTATAGTCAGAGTTTATGGTTTCCTGAGCAATGCAAGGACAATTTGGAAGCCTTTCCCAAGTGCACTAACACTGTTTTTATTGTCTCTGTTTTACTAGGCAGTAATTAATGGTAAAGTCACAGCAGTATCGTTATGTACCTTAGGCCTATATCAAAGCAGCACTTTTTCTGTATTGCCAATAAACTGTGTTTGTGCTGAAAGTTAATCTCTTAGGTGTTTCAGTTCACAGAGTTATGCTGGCTACACTTGGAAACCAATGTTTGGTGAATTGAAAGTCAAACCTGGTATTTCCTAATTCAGGGAACCATATATTTGAGGAACATTATTTCACCATAATCTTGGGAGTTAGGAATAGTGGTTTTATTCACCAACTTGTTTTCAGCCCCTCTGATTTCCTTGGGGATGGAACAAAAAGCTCAGGTTGTGTGAGGGTGAAATTATTTCTCCTAAAATCCTTCCTCTCGATTCAGGTTTCCTGGCTCTAACAGTGGCCTCTTTTCTCTGCAGTCCCTGTGTTGTGCAAATCAAATGCCATTGAAGTGAGCATCCCCAGGGAGCTGGTTGGTGGCCTGGAGCTCTTCCTGACCAACACCTCCTGCCGAGGAGTGTCCAACGGCACCCATGTCAACATCCTCTTCTCTCTCAAGACGTGTGGTACAGTGGTCGATGTAGGTTCCTCCTGGAGGGCACTCGGGGAATGGCCAAAAGCCGGTTATTTGGGAGGTAGTGGACAGAGGTATGCCATGTGGCTTGTGTCATCGATGAGATATTTACGCACAAAAGATTTGAGCTCAAAACATCTTATGTCATTCATTTAACCAACATGTTCTTGAGCATCTGCTGTGGTCCTGGCACTGTGAAGAATTCTGCTATTCCTGTTTTCAAATACCCCATCTCTCCAGTATGCGCAGACATTTTCCTGAATGCATCAGTACCAGTGGTACTGGAAGCCTGGCTACATCCCCTCTGACCAATTATTTTATTTGAAGAAAGTAACTAATACAGATGATGGTTCATTTATGGTGGAGAGTTCAAGTATTGAACCAGGTTGAGTGAAAAGGTTTATATTTTCATCCCAAAATCTGCACACAGCCCTGTGCTGGAGAGTTAGACATGTATGAAATCCTGCCTTTTAGGAACTTGCACAGCAAAATTGAGATGATGATACAGAAAATGTAAGGAAAGGATGAACAGTGAGACTGATGACAGGTCCTGTAGGAGTCCAGTCAAGGGACAAACACAGGAGCAGTCAAGACAAGTGGGACTTGGATCCAGGTGGAAGTGTGTATGTGGTTTACACAGCAGAGAGGAAAAGAAAGGGCCTTTCAGATGGGAAACAAGTGAGCTAGTCTCTGAGAGGGGATATGCAGGCCTGTGCAGAAGTATGTGGAGAGTGCAGCCGGATTGGCCGGGAATTCCTACTGGAAAATGAAACCGGAAAAGTAGATGGGGCGGGCTGAGCTTCCAAAGGCCTGCCTTGTGTGCTAGGGTGAGCCGTCTGGATTTGATCCCACAGAAATGGGTTTAGGCAGGGACTGTGGTGATGAATGCCATGATCTGACAGCAGCTTGCAAGATGGATAGAGCAGACGGGGCCTGCATGTGGATCAGCACGGAGGCCTTTGCGATCATTTGGTTAAATGAATATTTATTTATGACTCTAACTAAATGAAAATCAGAAAGCTGATTCGACTTGCAGTGAGACAAGTGGGGGATATTCAAGGAGCAGGTGGTCCCACTTGAGGCAAGTTATGTTGATCATATCGGTGGATAATCAAATGGACATGCCGCATGGTAGGTTGGCGCTAGTCTCCCATGTACGGCAGAGCAGAGGAATCTGGAGATAAAGAGCTGAAAACCATCCGGTAAATGCCACAGCCGAAATTCGGAGTGTGCAAGAGTTCACACAAGGTCGTGCTGCCGCCGCATCACCAGGTCTAAAATTCCTGAAAGAAACAGAACGGGCGGAAGCTGTCCTTTTCTAAAATACCAGAGCTTTGGATTCGCTGATTCTGCATAGATCGGTTATTATGAGTAATACTCTAAAGGAATGTGTGGGGCTGCCCAAGAAGTAATGTGTAAAACTCTTTTTTTTTTTTTCTTTTTTTTGAGATGGAGTTTTGCTCTTATTTGCACAGGCTGGCAATGGAACAATCTTGACTCACTGCAACCTCCGCCTCCTGGGTTCAAGCAATTCTTCTGCCTCAGCCTCCCAAGTAGCTGGGATTATAGGCACCTGCCACCACGCTCGGTTAATTTTTGTATTTTTGTTGAAACGAGATTTCACCATGTTAGTCAGGCTGGTCTTGAACTCCTGACCTCAGGTGATCCACCTGCCTCAGACCCCCAAAGTGCTGGGATTACAGGTGTAAGCCACTGCACCCAGCCTTTTTTTTTTTTTTTTTTTTTTTTGGTATTATTTTCTTATTTATTAAAAAGTACACAACAAAGAGCTAGGCTGTATAATACCAATAGTTAGTATATAAAGCCATGTATAATAATGGGCTAATTAGGAGGTAGAGAGAAGTTCTAAATGAGAGCCATGTGAGTTTAAGTTACAGTTGATTCTTGTTATTCACAGTAGTTATGTTCTACCAAGCTGCCACAAGCAATGAATTAGGTAATACGGAAGCTAATTTCTTTAGCAATTAAGCATTGCTCCTAGGGGAAACACCGGGTTAGGTTCCTGTAATCCTCTGGTTACAACATTTTTGTTAACCGATCAGTTAACAGTCTTGTTCTGTGTGTGTTTCCGTTTAAAGATACCTTATTTAACATGCATTATAGATTCATTAACATTGCACTCATGGCCAGCAGCACTGCAACTCGTATCTGGAGTTTATCAAACACCTATTTTCCCATTTTCCCTGTAAGGCTGTCATAGCCTCCTTGTGCTTGGGATCACTAGACAGCCCATCTGCACTGCACGTGTGGGTGCCTTTCAACAGCAACATTGCTCACAAAACACATACATGCAAAAGCATGCCGTTCTGTAGATCACAAAAAGGATCCTGGTTTACAGTATGAGAGCTAAAACAAGAAGGCAGTGGTGCCTTGTTGGACCTCAGCTGGGAATGTGCCACTGTGCACATTCTGGGAATAACCTCAGAAGCATAGTGAGTACTGATTTTGGGGTTATAAATAAATGTTAGCTGCTAGATGAATTCACACATACTAAATGCACGAATAATGGGCATCAACTGTACATGGTAAACCTGGGGGGACTTCATAGAAGAGATGAGTTTGAGTGAGGCATTGAAGGATGGGTAAATGAAGATGGGAATGATGGATGAGGAGAGATGTCAGCCACTAATGAGCTCTAGTCTCATCATCACACTCGTCCCTTCCTGACCACAGATCATTTCTTTTTTCTTTTTTCTTTTTTTTTTTTTTGAGACGGAGTTTCACTCTGTTGCCCAGGCTGGAGTCCAGTGGCTCAATCTCAGCTCATCACAACCTCTACCTCCCAGGTTCAAGCAATTCTCCTGCCTCAGCTTCCCAAGTAGCTGGGACTATAGGTGTGTGCCACCACGCTCAGCTAATTTTTATATTTTTAGTAGAGACAAGGTTCCACCATGTTGATCAGGCTGGTCTTGAGCTCCTGACCTCGTGATCCACCCACCTCGGCCTCCTGAAGTGCTGGGATTACAGGCATGAGCCATCGTGCCCAGCCGACCACAGATCATTTCTTACTCTTGTATACCATACTGTCTTTGAAGCTGAGTTTTATTTTTATTTTTATTTTAAGCTCAGGGGTACATGTGCAGCATGTGCAGGTTTGTTACATAGGTAAATGTGTGTCATGGGGGTTGGTTATACAAATTATTTCATCACCCAGGTATTAAGACTACTGCCTGTTAGTTATATTTCCTGCTTCTCTCCCTCCTCCTGCCTTCCACTCTCTGATAGGCCCCAGTGTGTGCTGTTCCCCACTATGTGTCAGTGTGTTCTCATCATTTAGCTCCCACTTATAAGTGAGAACATATGGTGTTTGGTTTTCTGTTCCTGTGTTAGTTGGCTAAGGATAATGGCCTTCAGCTCCATCCACGTCCCTGCAAAGGACATGATCTCATTCTTTTTTTGTGGCTACAAGTATTCCATGGTGTATATGTACCACATTTTCTTTATCCAGCCTATCATTGATGGGCATTTAGGTGGATTCCATGTCTTTGCTATTGTGAATAGTGCTGCAGTAAACCTACATGTGCATTGCATGTGTCTTTATAATAGGACGATTTATAATCTTTTGGGTATATACCCAGTAATGGCATTGCTGGGTCAAAGGGTAGGTCTGTCTTTGGGTCTTTGAGGAATCACCACACGGTCTTCCACAATGGTTGAACTAATTTACACTCCCAAAAACAGTGTGAAAACATTCCTTTTTCTCCACAACATCACCAGCATGTTATTTCTTGACTTTTACTAATAGCCATTCTGACTGGTGTCAGATGATATCTCATTGTGGTTTTGATTTGCATTTCTGTAATAATCAGTGATGTTGAGCTTTTTTTCCATATGTTTGTTGGCCACATATATGTCTTCTTTTGAGAAGTGTCTGCTCATGTCCTTTTCCACTTTTTAATGTTTTTTTCCTTATAAATTTAAGTTTCTTGTAGATGCTGGATATTAGACCTTCATCAGAGAAAAAAAATTTTCCTCCCATTCTGTAGGTTGTCTGTTCTCTCTGATGATAGCTTCTTTTGCTGTGCAGAAGCTCTTTAATTTAATTAGATCCCATTTGTCAATGTTTGCTTTTATTGCACTTGCTTTTGACATCTTCATCATGAAATCTTTGCTTGTGCCTATGTCTCAAATGGTACTGCCTCGGTTGTCTTCCAGGATTTTTATAGTTTTGGGTTTTACATTTAAGTTTTTTTTTTTTTACTTTATGAAAATACTGAGTTTTATTTTATGTGTATCTTTTTGTCTCTCCACCATTTCCATGTCCAACCACTGCTACTACTATGTCCTATCATAACATTCCACACATGCTTAAACCCAAGTAAAGGGTGGAGTTCCATCTTTAAAAACTAAACAGGTATTTTGGACAACACATTCTTGGCAATGGAACCTGGACAACATTTATCAAACATAGTAGTGAAAGTTCTCACTCTGCATTACAAAAGGGACAGATATCAACTGTTACAGAAATGAAATAAGATGGAAACTTTTTAACAAATTGTTCAAACTATTTTTTTAAAGAGACTTCCTCCATTGCCAGAGATCTTGAATAGCCTCCTGGTCATTCATCTGGAAGCAATTCTTCACATAATTGATGAACTTGGCTTCCACTTTGGGAAGAGAATCACGTTTTTCTATACTTGCTTGCATTTTTGCTGTAATGTCTTTTACAGAACTAGGTCCTTTTGGTGTTTTAGGAGTTTTTCTGTTTTTTTGAAGCGTTCTTGTCCTTTTGATCTTGGTGTTGATGATGGTTTTGAGTCTTTTCCATTCTGATTTAAGTTTTGTCCATTTTTGGCTGGAGTATCTTGTATAGATTTCTTCACTTTTTCTTCAACTTCCTCATCATCTTCATCATCATCATCATCTTCATCATCATCTTCATCAGCAGCAAGTTTTACTTTTTTCTATGGAACCTTGCTACTACCTCCAGGGGCAGACTGCTTTCCAGATATACTTAAGAGTTTCACATCCTCCTCCTCTTCATC